ACAAACTAAGGGACTGTTTTGTTTACTCAAAAAGTAGTGCAATATAAAATGAATGTTATATAAAATTTATATTTTCTATGTGAAATTTTTTAGAGTTGTTTGGTTCACTGTAAAATAAATGTTGGATTTTAATTTTTTTTATTTGATTTGAAGTAGATTGAAAACAATGTATTTCAAAATATATAAGGTATTATTGTCAGGTGAAAGACGACATCCAACAACGTTGACCTACAATTGACGTCGGCGATTGATGCCAGGCAGTGATGTCGGTTGGCATGAGGTGGCTATTGTCAGTAGGCGGAGAATGACTGCAGTGACAAACAGACAATGATGGCAGTTACAGGTAAACATGTAGTGGAGGCTGCGACGAGTGCTAGCTGTGGTGGGCTACATCTGGCAGCGGCGACCAACAAGTGATGCTGGCTAATCGAGTGTGATGATAGACGATGGTTGTGGCGGGTAGCCAGCAATGGTGGGCGGTGGCGGCTATAGCAAGCTAGCAGTGGGGGTGGTAGATTACGGTGTGTTGCAGCGAGTGGAGGTCGCAGTAGCGATGGAGGCGATGGTGAACAGTGACTTGTAGCAAGCAAGGGGGATGGCTGGGGGAGACTGGCGGCCGCTGGCTGCGAGTAGATAGAGGGCAGGCAGCGAGTGGTTGCTGGCAACGACGATGACTGCCCCCCCCCCCCCCCCCAGCCGATAGGTAGCTTCTTGTCGGCTTGTTGGTGGCGAGCTGCTGCTGTTGATAGCATTTTATATTATTGAACGGTGTAAATCTCAAATTTGGCGGTCGAATTCTAAATTCAACAAAAATGAACTAAGTTATAAACTTCAAATTTATTCATACTTTATATTGTATTTTTAATTATTCGTACAAAATATTTAATTTTTTAAAATCCCTGCAAAAGTTACAACACTATAATTTCTCTCAATCAAACAATTCCTTGGTGAACTAACACATGAGCAAGGAAGCCATAGTAGAAACAACTGTATGTAAATTAAATGGGTTATGAAAAAGGAGAGTTGAGCACATTCCATCTTGTAATAACTTGAGAATGTTAAACAAAATTATTCTATAATACAAGTAGTGTATTAAATAAGATGTTAATATAAAGGGGGATCAACATAATGTTGTATTCATTTAAATAATGGATTATAAAGTTGCAACACAAAAACGAAAGATCATAATACATGCATATCCATAACACAATTTTGAATCATCATTTCCTTTGATATTAATATGTTACTATGGATGCATTTTTATTTTTATCTGCCAGTTTGAAGAGATGGAACCTCAAAATAATTGGAGTTGGATGCCCTACCAACAAGAATCTAATTGATTTAATCAGGTTGTCTTTGGGATGCAGACGATTACCTAGCTAATCAAGATATTACTAAATTTTAGGATTTCGAGGGAGTTTTGTTAAACTTAAATATTTTGTTATTGTTTACCAAGTGTGAGATTCAACCTCTAGAAAATTTAAGGTTTAGCTCTTGCTAGAACTCTGTGTTTTAATCTCACACAAAACTCTATAAATTTAGAGATTTTCTTGGTCAAGTTTTTTCTTTGGGAAGAGTTGGTTTTGTTGCTAGACCTTCATTTTATTGCGCAGTTGCTTGTAATCATTGATAACTAATTGGATTTATGTCCAACTTCCTTGATGATATGTTTTGTCAACAACCGGTTAGATGTTGGCACTAATATTTTGTTGGATCATTTATGTTGACAAAACACTTGTTTTCCTAATGTGATGATTTATCTCATTGATTTCTTGTTATCAATGTTTGCATCTTCGAAACTCAATTGCTTGAGCACAATTTTTAGATTAGCCTTCCTCGCTATAGCTCACATTGTTATTGTCCTATTCTTCTAATGTTCTTTTGGTGAAATCCTATACTTAAATTTTATTAATAGTAGAAGCTTATCATGCGGGTTAGATCTCGTGATTTTTTAATCGGGGGTTTCCATGCAATTATTTTTAACTCTTTTAATTTGTGTTTTAACATTATTGTGCTAAGACAACCAATTCTTTGTTTCATATAGGAATTTATTTATTTTTTGTAACATACAACAGTTTTAAAACATTTATGATAATAAATATCACTCTTCAACAAGTGATTGCAATATTTGACAATCATTCGAGTGTAGAGACTTGAAGATCTTCTAATTGGATGCTTTGAACAATAAAGTATTTTCAATGGTTGGACATCATCAACTAGTTTTTTTTTTCTAATGGAAAATAGGAACATACCCAATTTATTTTTGGAGGATCTATGTTTACCTCTATTAACCAACAATTTGCAAGCGAGCACCCAAACTTTCTCCTATATATTAGCGCAGGGAAGAACCCAATAAAGAAGCCACAGTCTAAACGATGAGATGTAGTTAGTTTTATATTAAAAAATGTAATGCTCTAGTGTATGTAAGATTTAGTTAGTTTTTTTTTTTCAATTGGATAATTTTTCTTAAAAATGATATATATATTTTTTATCTTAGATTCATACTGAAGAGGAACAGGTTGGAGCACAATGGATTGAATGATGCAGTGTATGTAAGTTATAATACCAGATTGAGGAAGAGAAGTATAACTAGAAAACAAGACTTCAATCCAATATTAGTTAATGACAAACTTTGATGATGAGTGAATTGTTGAGAAAGAAAATTCTGTGCTTCTACCTGAATTTTCTTGGGTAAATGAACATGTATTTGATATTGATGTAATAAAAAATGTGCCCATAACTAAAGCAAATGAAGAATCACAAAATCTTACACAAGGAAGAAATGGTGTTTTTATAACATATTCCCATTAAAAATAGAAGCTGAATGAAAAAATAAGTTTCTTATTTACGTTTAGTTGTTCTTTACATAATTATGATTAGAAAAAAGATTCTAAGTATTTATGAATATGATTTTGTTTATTTTTATAGTTTAAGACAACAATGATGACGAGAAATAAATTGTGAATGCACCTGAGACCGAGTATGATGATGATTTTAATGAAGTGAACAATGAATATAGACAACATGAAGGACCTAGTTGTGATTTGTACACAACTATTGGTGAGGAAAAAGAAGATTTCGAAGATGAACTTGAAGAATGAATAATATTCAATGATTGATATCAATTGAGCTCAACTAGTTAATTTTTTTGGCTCAAACATGTTTGCTTGTTTTTATATATTTGTACTTTTTGTGATGGGTTTATGCTAATATATTGAAGATTTTTGAGTCCTAGAAGACTTGTTTTGAAATTGAGCGAGTCTAAATTTTTATTTTTATCTCTTATTAATTATATGCTCTATACTTCTTTTATACCGTGGGGCTTACACCTCTCCCTGCAACAGCTAAAACACCCTGTCTAATGCCCCAACTTTTTAAAACATTGTTTATGCAGTCTTTTTTTTCTATTTAGGCTGAGATGCAAGTGGTAACATGATCCAATTCAATGATTTGGATTTTTAAGAAATCCCCTTTACTATGAGGATCCCCAAGCCACAACAAGATGAACCAATATAGTATTATAGTTTATATATGAATATAGCCATTTCCCTTAAGATTGCTTCCCAGACAAGGAGGAATCAAATGTCTCATTTCTTTTGGACTTCATGAGCAGAGCCGCTTTCAATAACGCCATTGGTGGAAGGAAGATAGAAGCCTTCAGATGAGCCTTTTCATGGAGCAATCCCCAAGATGGCATAAGATTTATAGATTGGATCTCCTCTTAATGTATCAGAAGGCGAACCTCAAAAGAGTTTTTTCATTGCACTATAAAAAGTCCCAAAAGGCACTTGATCTGTATCAATTGGAATATTAAGGAGGTTTGTTGTTGAATAAACTTTGGATGGCACCCTCAAAACTCTTGGGGGGCATTCAAAGCATATAGATGCTGGTCAGTTTTTTTTTTTTTTTTTTTGCCCTTCATTATAACTTGCACCAAGATTTCTTCTTGGAGGGGCCAACGATGCGTCTCTTCCAATCATATTTGAGTTAACATTCCAACGCTCAAATGATTTTCACACCTTATAACAGTTTCAATCTTTACAGCCAAAAAGTTGCAATGCAATTCTTACAATCATACTCATGTATGACTCAGCAAAATGACTCTTAACTTAGGAATTTTAACATAAAAGTAGAAAATAAACTCTTTGTTCCTATCATCGAGCCAACTCTCTGATGCCCATTTTCAGTTCATTCTTTTTCAACACAACCTGAGCTTCTATCAAGACATATGCCCATTTTCAGTTCATTCTTTTTCAACACAACCTAAGCTTCTATCAAGACATACACCACAGGGAAAAAAATACCTACACATGAAGAAGTAATTTTCCAAGGGAAAATAATATGTTTTATATACATTATAATTTCATTCGAGACCAAATGCTTCATCAATAGAAGTTCGGAATTTTTGAAAGCGGAAATATTGCATGAAGAAACCTCTTTGCTCTTTTGCTCCTTTTTCATTGCGAACCATTCCTTCTGTACCCTCGATGTGTTCTTTTCAGTTAGCTTTGTTCTTCTTTCCTTTGGGGAGCTTCATCATCTGTTTCTGTAGCTTTGATGCTCAGTCATCCTTTAAACTATACAGTCACTTCTTCTATGAGTCTAGCTTTGCTTATTATGTCAGGTTCTATTGAAACGGTTCAAGCATCAGTAGATTCTTCATTAATATAAGGCTAGATTTGGTTAGGGTAAAATTTTCCTAATATTGTTTGTTCAGGTTATGGATTCAAAACATAAATATTTGCATTTCATGTGCATGACAGTGGAAATCATAGTTATTTTTTTATCTATCTTGCATTGTCTGTGTTATCATGATCAATTTTTGTATCTTTCAGTGCGCCATTATTGGGGCCTAAATTCTATTGAACATGCTAGATTATAGCATCACAATAAGAATAAAAGGTTCTGCTTTAGCTTGCGCGCTCATTTTTTTTTTAAAATTGTTTTGGAATAATCTTGGAATGATTTTACTATTGTCCGAGTCATTGTTGTATTTGTAGGCTGGACCTGCTGCCGCTCTACTTAAAGCTGAAGTGCCATGGTCTGTACGTAGGGGCAATCTCTCAGAGAGCGATCGAGTTCTTAAAACAGTGAAGGGGTAAATTTTCATCAGTCGATATTTCCTTATAACATTTACTTTACGGAAAACCATCTTTTATTTAGTAATTTGGCTTATTTAGTAATTTCTCTATCTGTATGTTAAGGCCGGTGAAAAATTTTGTAAAAATTAAAGATACAATATTGAACATATCTTCAAACTAATATTTCTGTTTCTATTTTTCCTTGATGTCCAGTATTTTGAATAAGCTGACTCCAGAAAAATTTGATGTTCTCAAGGGTCAGCTGATTGATGCAGGAATAACCACTCAAGAAATTTTAAAGGTTCTTGTGCTCTCCGTAGAAGAGAAAAAGTTTTTTTTTTACAGTTTTTCTTTTCTAGATTTTGAGCTCAAAGTTTTCAATAATAACAATAATTTTGCAGGGTGTGATTTCTCTAATATTTGATAAAGCAGTTTTGGAACCTACCTTCTGTCCGATGTATGCTCAGCTTTGCTCCGAGCTCAACGAAGGAATCCCTCCATTCCCTTCTGAAGAACCAGATGGGAAGGAGATTACTTTCAAGCGTATATTGTTGAATATATGTCAGGAGGCATTTGAAGGTGCGGATCATCTTAGGTCTGATATCAGCAAGTTAACTGGTCCAGATCAGGAAATGGAACGCAGAGATAAAGAGAGAATGGTTAAGCTTAGAACTCTCGGTAACATTCGTTTGATTGGTGAACTTTTGAAGCAAAGGATGGTGCCAGCGAAAATTGTTCATCATATCGTTCAGGTTCTCATATAAATCAGTATCATATTATTCTCCATTTAATTCTTTAAGATGAATTTTCTGATTACTGGTTCAGGTTCTCATATAAATCAGTATCATATTATTCGCAAGTATCATTTAATTCTTTAAGATGAATTTTCTGATTACTGATATTCTGAGCAGGAAATCCTGGGGCCAGATGTTAAAGCTTGTCCTGCTGAGGAAAATGTTGAGGCTATCTGCCAATTTTTTAACACCATTGGCAAGCAGTTGGATGAAAACCCCAAATCACGACGTGTTAATGATGTTTATTTTAACCGGTTGAAGGAGCTAACGACCAATCCCCAGCTGGCTCCACGCCTTAGGTTTATGGTCCGTGACGTGCTTGATCTTCGTGCTCATAATTGGGTTCCTCGTCGTGAGGAGGTGGGACTTCATTACATATGTTAATTTTTGTTGGTCGATATCCAGCATATTCTCATGTTATTTTTGAGTCAACTCATGTAAAGAGGAAAATTTATTGTGTGTTGTGGTTAGAGGAGAAGTTGAAGGTTTTGGCTCATTGTCCTCTTGAGTAAATTGCCAAAATAGTCCCTTGATTGTTCACATGGGGCTGCCGTTTGTCCTAGAGTCTATAAAAGTGTCAAATTAGTCCACAGAGTCTTTAAGTTGGGCTGAAATAGTTTGCAAACTAAATTGAGTGTCAAATTATTTCTGCCCATATTAGTCCCCAGAGCACAACATAGCCCATATTAGTCTCCAGAGTCTATAAAGTGTCCAATTAATCCCCAGAGCTTAGGATTTATGACTATTTAAGTGTCAAATTATTTCTGCCTATATTAATATAGTTTGTAAACTAAATTGACACTTTAATAGACTATGAGACTGAAATGACTCCCTTGCAAAGTGTCAGGAGACTATTTGATAATTTTGTCTTGTTTCCTCTTTATACTTTTTTTTTTGTGTTTTTTTTTTTCTTGACTTGGTGATGCCTATGCCGTGCATCTTATTTACTTTCTTTTGGTTGGGCAGGTGAAAGCAAAAACCATCTCTGAGATCCACTCTGAGGCAGAGAAGACTCTCGGATTGCGTCCTGGAACAACAGCTAACATGAGAAATGGCCGTGGTGCCGGCGGTTTGGGAGGCGGTATGAATTCCGGAGGATTATCCCTAAAGCCTCCGGGAGCCGGAGGCATGATGATGCCTGGAATGCCTGGAGCCAAAAAGATGCCGGGGATGCCAGGCATGCCAGGGATGGATGGTGATAATTGGGAAGTCGTTCCTCGTTCTTCCAAATCCACGCTGAAAGCACAACATAGCCCTCTCATTAGCAAACCGTCACCCATAAATCCTAAGCTGCTACCTCAGGGTAGCGGCGGCCTATTAGCCGGAAGGTCAAGCGCACTATTGCAAGGCGTTAATCAGCCATCTCGAGCCCCTATCATTTCCGGAACCACCGATTCTTTTCCTCCGAATGTCGGCTTAGCGAAACCTTTCGGTACCACGCCTCCTACCGCTCAACCTGCAGAGAAGCAAACGACGGGACGACTGAACCCTGACGTTTTGAAGAAGAAAACAATCGCCCTCTTGGAGGAGTATTTCCATGTCCGCATCCTTGACGAGGCTGTAAAGTGTGTTGAGGAGCTTAAGAGTCCTCAATATCACCCAGAAATCGTCAAGGAAGCCATCAACCATGCCCTTGACAAGGGCCCATCTCACCTCGATCCTCTCGTCAGGCTTCTTGAGTACTTGCTCGCGAAGAAAGTGTTCACGCCGCGGGATTTGGGCACGGGTGCATTGCTTTATGGGTCAATGCTGGATGATATTAGCATCGACCTTCCCAGAGCACCAACTCTCTTTGGTGAGGTGATTGGAAAACTTATTTTGGTTAATGGACTGAGCTTCAATGTTGTGGCAGAGATCTTAAAGAAGGTGGAGGATGATAGGTCCCAGTCTGCCATTTTTGAAGCTGTGATGAAATGCGTGGAGGGAAGCCCAGCGGGTCAGAAGGTATTAGCTGATAATGCAGATGATATAAAGACTTGCAGGAGCTTGCTTCCTTAAAACTCTAACCTTGCTGGTGGGGTTTACCTGTTTCATCTGTCTTATTTTTCTTTATCAAACTTATATTGCTTGATACATTTTCTTTCTTCTATTTATTTTTTGCATTGGTTTTTTTTTTCTCTTTTTCTTAAACTGCGTTGACAATCTTATGAGCTGTTTGAAGCTTTCTAAATTTGAATGAGTTGTATATTTATGCGAGCGACATTTTTGTTAGTGATTCAAGTTGGAAAAAGAAAAAAAAAGAGCCATGGATTTTTGGCCAAGGAATCAGCTATAGCTTAGTTTCAAGTCCATCTCCTGAATTATATTTTGATGACAAATGTTTTGAAATATGTTGCTTCATCTAATTGATATGCCACATGATTCTTTTGCATTCACATGTCTTAACATCGAAATTTTAGTTTTTACATTTGTTAACACTTCAATTTTTAATGTTGCATCAAAATATCACTGTTATTGACTTGAAAGTGAAATATATATTGTCGAGCATAAGTGATGTATGGATGTAAAAAACTATAGTTTGTTTTAGGTGAAGTATTTGCGTACGGAAAGTGTACGCACATTTACATATATTTTAGGTTATTCTGAGGGTACAACTATGTTACACTTAGGTTACAGGAAGAATTATAAGAGGGTACAACTCTGCGTACACTTGCTGTACACAAATATTTCTCTTGTTTTAGACATGAATCATTTGGTAGGCATGTAAAATTTACATTAGAGAATTGTAGTTGCATGATGTAATTCATAATTCTTACTCTTGAATTTATTCTCCATATCTATTCTCCATTTATTACAAATATAAATCTTAATAGTCAATGTGTAGCATATTTGATTTCCTTAACTTAGGGAGCTCAAGAATTGGGCAATTATAAAATAACAGGGTATTTATGTACATACCACACAATTCTTATGTTTGTACACATGGAAGATCTAAAATCTCATATTTACATGCATACCACTTAAATCATTAGAACGTCACGTCAAAAAAAATATATATATCATCATAATCTTTTTAAAAGTGAAATGCATTTTCATGCATATATTTATGATATCAAAGTATTCGGAGTGTAAAAATCAAACCCGAATCAAATTATTACTAGATAAAAATCAAACTTTAGGCGTCGTATATATAAATGCATAAAAAATTTTGTTGTTATGTGTGTAAATTTCTCTGAAATAATTAATTGTGGTGACTAATAAAAAAATTTTGATTACTCAATTTTAATATAAATCTTAGATACCTCATTCTACTTAGAAGAATTTACTTTGGATTTGCTTAAGACTGATTTCTTTTAGTCCATTAACTCGTCATCAATCCTTCAACCAATTGATTTTTCAGAAATCTTTCAACATCTCTCTTTTCAGTGCCTCGTGCCCATCATTGTGATGAGCTTCGTCATCCTTGTTTATCTATTGTGTTATACCTTTGTCTCCTCAAGTATGTTGGATCTATATATATATATATATATATATATATATATATATATATATAGATATATATAATGGACAAGATAAAGGTGAAGGTTTTAGGAAAGGTAAAGTTAGTTGCATAGTTTGGTGATCTCAGGTGACTTAAAGTAATGTTGCCGCTTATACCCTCCTGCAGGCTAATGGTTCCTGGTAGAACCGTGAGCTTGTTGCAAAGTTCTTCTAAACTCAGTTTGGATAGAGCTTTAGTGCTGAGATTGAAGGCACTTAAATTGAATGTGATTCGAATTGGCATGATTCTTATGAAATGGTAATCAATTTTGATATGCTTGGTACGTGCATGGAATACGAGATTGTCAGCTAGAGACAGCTAAAATATTGTCACAATATATCGTTGTAGGATGTAAAGTGGTAATGGTCGTAACCATAGAACATCTGTCGAGACAGTTGCTAGCGCATAATACTCAGCCTCTGTAGAGGAGCGAGCAACCGTTGACGATATGAGGGAATCCCCTAGGAAGGAGCTCACTCCCGTGGTAGATTTATGATCTGATTGGTCTCTAGCCCACTCAGCATTAGTATAGGATCAAAGTTAAAGGTCTCCTAGTTTAATCACAAGTCCAAAGTGAGAGGTATCTTTTAAGAACCGTAAAAGATGAATTAGTTATTGATAATTTGATGTGGTAGGAGACTTCATATATTGGCATAGCTGATTGACTGTGTAGAAGATATTTGATCTTATAACAGTAAGCTATTGTAGGGATCCCGTAATTTATCTATACATGATGGGATTATGAAATGGACTATCTTGTTCATGCCGAGAAGATTGTTTGGCTGGGGTTTACAATTCTGCATTCCTACATGTGTAAGAAGCTCAATGCCATACCTCTGCTGATTAAGGAAGTAGGATGTCTTTGATGGGATGATTTTGATGCCAAGAAGACAACCAATACGCCTAAGAGCTTTCAACTAAAGTTTTCTGGCCATCCGTTTTGTGAGTTGAGTTATGACAAGTATATTATTTTTTGTAATCAGAATGGTGTCAACGTAGATAAGTACAAATATGCTAATATTATTTTGTTGATAGATGAACAATGATGGATGATGTAACGTAGATAAGTACAAATATGCTAAATATTATTTTGTTGATAGATGAACAATGATGGATCATGTTGTCAACATAGATAAGTACAAATATGCTAATATTATTTTTGTTGATAGATGAACAATGATGGGTCAACTTTGCTTATGTAAAACTCATTTTAAGTAAAGAAAGTTGAAAACATGATGTACCATTGTCACGACGCTTGTTTTAAGCATTATAATGACTTTTTGAAAAGGCAAACTTGATGAGGTAGTTGAGGATCTTGGAAACCTTATGGTTGTTTAATATACCATTTCAATAAGGAATGCATTTGAGATCAAATTGAAAAACATCCAATTGATGATGTAGTGCCACTGCGAGTAGGATGTGAACTGTTGGAATTTTGGCCGCAAAGCTAAATGTTTCGTTATACTTGATTCTGAATTCTTGCCAATGTCCTTGTGCTACAAGCCTGGTCTTGTGTCTGGTGATTCTTCCCATTGAATCATACTTGTTAGCATATGTCCATTGAAATCCTAAAACAGGTTGTTTTTTAGGTTTGGGAATTAGAACCCATGTTTGTTGTTTCTGGATAGCATTAAATACTTCAACCATAGCCTTGCACTATTGTGGATATTTAATTGCAGGTGGTGGCTCAAGATGATGTGAGAGATCCAATTTGCAGATTAGTTTAAGGTGGCCAATGCGAGGTCTTGTTATCATAGGATGGATAGATGGAACATGAGTTCCTTGAGGCACGAGTAAGGGAGAAGTTGTTGGAGATGATGGTGGAATAGGTTTAACATTGGAGGAGAAAATTGGTGGTGGGCTAGGAGGTGAATGTATGAATGTGGACGTGTAGGATTGGGGCATCGAAACTTAGGAGAGTGTGGTGGGTGCGAACAACCATGAAGGGGTGTAGGACGGTGTAGATTTTTGTGTGAGCAATAGAGATAATGATTTTTGTATGAATGGAAAGGTGAATTTATCAAACACCACATGGCGAGAGATTATGAATTTATTGGGAGTTGGGTTGTAACATTTGTAGCTCTTATGTTGAAGAGAATGACCGAGAAATATACATTGAACTGATCATGATTTAGATTTGTATGATGTTTGAGTTTTTCTCGATGGATAGCAAGCACATCTAAACACCTGAATATGAGTGTACTTTGGTGATGATTTGTGAAGGTGTTCATAGGGGGAGATATAATAAGTGGTTTGAGTAGGCATACGATTGATAAGATGCACGATCGTTAAAAGGCTATTGAACCAAGTAATAAGATCGTCAGTTAATCCTTTTCTTCTAGATATAATCTGTTATACATCCATGATACAACGCTTTGAATACTCATCTGCACTATAAATGTTTATCAAACACCACATGGCGAGAGATTATGAATTTATTGGGAGTTGGGTTGTAACATTTGTAGCTCTTATGTTGAAGAAATATACATTGAACTGATCATGATTTAGATTTGTATGATGTTTGAGTTTTTCTCGATGGATAGCAAGCACATCTAAACACCTGAATATGAGTGTACTTTGGTGATGATTTGTGAAGGTGTTCATAGGGGGAGATATAATAAGTGGTTTGAGTAGGCATACGATTGATAAGATGCACGATCGTTAAAAGGCTATTGAACCAAGTAATAAGATCGTCAGTTAATCCTTTTCTTCTAGATATAATCTGTTATACATCCATGATACAACGCTTTGAATACTCATCTGCACTATAAATGTTTATCAAACACCACATGGCGAGAGATTATGAATTTATTGGGAGTTGGGTTGTAACATTTGTAGCTCTTATGTTGAAGAAATATACATTGAACTGATCATGATTTAGATTTGTATGATGTTTGAGTTTTTCTCGATGGATAGCAAGCACATCTAAACACCTGAATATGAGTGTACTTTGGTGATGATTTGTGAAGGTGTTCATAGGGGGAGATATAATAAGTGGTTTGAGTAGGCATACGATTGATAAGATGCACGATCGTTAAAAGGCTATTGAACCAAGTAATAAGATCGTCAGTTAATCCTTTTCTTCTAGATATAATCTGTTATACATCCATGATACAACGCTTTGAATACTCATCTGCACTATAAATGTAGCTCTATAGATTAGTACACCTACATATTACATATTTACATACATACCACAATTTTCTTATGCAATCACATACCTCACACCTAAATTTCATATTTACATACATACCACAATTTTCTTATGCAATCACATACCTCACACCTAAATTTCATATTTACATACATACCACAATTTTCTTATGCATTTACATATCACACCAAAATTTTAATACATAGCACAAGTTTATTATGTATTTACATATCTCACACCTAAAATTAGGGAAAACCATGAAATCCATATGCATTGCCTACCTCACAATGGAATACAAAAAACTTGAGCAAGACCTATGTATTTTCGGATCTAACATCTATGCAAGGAAAAGATAAAAATAAAAACTTATGCTGAACCAAAACTTAGGCGTGGAAGAAGATTTCACACCTTAGACGGGATTTGAAAGATGAATCAGACCAGAAATCGCGGGAGAAGCTCGATGGTGATGGAGGCGATGACTGATAACCGATGGAAGGAAATGAGCGTGAAGTGAAGCTGCAGTTCAAGGGAGACTATTTTAGGGCATTAGCGTCGGCCTTAGCACCAGTCATGGTTGATTTTAATCCGACGTTTTAGCATCGGCCATGTGTCGACCAGTCGACGCAACTTTTTTTTGTGTTGATTTTTATGAAGCGGAACTGCACGACAACAGTAAACCGACACTAACCGATAGCTATTTTTACGCCCGAAATAAGTTCGACGTTAATTCTGACACAAATTTATAATTTTCCTCCACAAATTTATAATTTTCCTGTAGTGAGTGGAGGTGTTTTTTCAAATAGTAGGATAATTTGGGTGGTATGGTTGAAAAGATGAGTTATTTATTTAAATTTAATGGTTATGATTGTTGCAAGGAAGGGATCCACGAAATTTAGTCATTGGACCAATAAGAAATAAAAGGATCAGTGGAGTGGTATTTGATAACAAATAATTAATTGTTTAATTAAATTAGTGGTATATTTGTATATAAGCCTAAAAAAAGGGGTTTCCCGTAAAATTATCAAGGTTGTTTAGAAAAAAAATGAAATTTTATATCATTTTGAAGAGGATAAAACAAAGAATCCAAAGTTTCAAACGGTTTGAAAAACGGAGCAATGCAAGAAAAGTTATGACCTTTTAAATTTCAACGATGATTAATCTGATGGCTATGGTGGCTGGAGAGTTGACTTTTGACCAAAATTTGGCTTCGGTCAACATGATAGATTCAAATGGCATAAGTTCAATGGTCCAACTGGTTTTGACTAATTCAAGCTCTATAAGAAGATATGACTGGTCGAAATGGGCCCCATCTTAGGAGAATAATTAATTTAGACAAAAATTTTTTTTATTAGACTAAATTGTTCCAAAATCTATATTTGAAGTTTAAAACAAATTTCATTGAAGATTGAAGTTAGTTTGTAGTTTTTTCTATAGAGTTAAGGTCAAATAATTGATTTATCTCTTCTAATTATCGTTTTCTCTTATGATTAATATTTGCTCAAAAGGTGTCCAAATTGGGCCAAAATTGAGCACCCAATGATTTAATTAAAAGATTTTCAAAAGATAGACACAATGTAAGTTCATTTTTGAAAATAACGAGTCGTGAAATAATTTTTATGTAAGATCATTTTCAGGTATGATAAGCTTAGTAGACAGTTCCTACGTAAAATTTTCTTCAACTAATCATTAGATTAGACAGTTCCTACGTAAAATTTTCTTCAACTAATCATCAGATTAGTTTGCATGATTCTTATTAGTTTCAATAAGTTTCATGCATCTTTAAAATGAGCTTTTGAGCCTTACAATCATCTTTAGAGAGAAATCAATAAGCTAGGGTTTAATAGCATGGAGCTCAAGTGAAATTCAACCAGGCTTCAGGCAATGAAAATGAGATCAATAGAAGCGGCCGAAGAAAACTTTAAATATAGTTAATACTTTATTAAGATTTACGATTTTAGATGACGATCCGAGATTAAATTCATATTATTTAAATTTCATTTGAAGGTGCATGCATTACTCAAAATGACCAATTTATATGTAGCTGGATGAAATTACAAGGCATGATGATGGGAGAAAACCAACAAAAACTTACTGTACAATAACTGGTTTGATAAAAAAAATAATTAAATTAAACATATAAACAATAATCAATCCAAATTCACAATTTCTGTATTTGAATCAGGACATTAGTGTCAAAATTGTTAGCCATATACAGACACCATTGACTGCCTCAGAAATAGATTCATTCAGCTCTCATTTCATTAGAAGAGTGAACGAGCTCTAATAGCAATATTTAGAATTAGCCGGAATCAGATTGGTTAAATGAATCCCTAGAAGCATTACTAGAATGATTCACCTGCAGACTGCAGCAAACAAAATTTACGTTGAAGGCTCAGGGTTATGGGCCTCAATATCAACATGTCTGATTCCTGGAACAATCTTCTGAATCTCACTCTCAAGTCTGTCCACTTCGCTCCCTAAGGCCTCAACAAGACCCTCACCTGCCAATATTCAGCCATTTAGTACAACCAATTACAGCAAACATACAAGAAGTCTCTAATACTTTCAGTTCTGATTAGATATCAATAAATACCATAGTTTGCCATAGCTTTAAGCAATTTGGAATCATCGCCGCATTCTGCAGCCTCCCGAAACTGAAGTAATTTAGGAAAAATATAAAAAGAAGAACTTAGTAGCGGCGGCGATGGTGGCGATAGTTGCTCTCAAATAAAAGGAAGATGAACCATTTAATTAAAAAATTTACAATATTCAGCTGATAAAAGAACAGAGTTACACAAACCAATAAAAAATCACTTGTGATTCATTATTTTTGTAGATCTCACATGGAAAAGAGAATCTCTGCTTTAAGAGCAGGAATTCAATCTCAGCATCTCAGGATTGTGTTTCTTGTTAATTTATTCTATTCTTATTAATATTTTTGTTATGATCAAATACATGATTTTAGTGAACATGTTGGACAAAAATTTTATTTCTCAAAAATGCAAGCTATATTTTCATGTACAAAATTTATCTTGTTCTGAAATTTCCAAGTCGTATGGGTCTAAGAATATGTAGCTAAGTCGAAGTTTACATGAAAATCAGATAGATTAGTCGTTTCTAACATATATAAGTAAGATATATGGCTTATTCCAGCAACATGACCCCTTCTCCTAAGGTATGTTGGCTCCATTACACATAATGTTAAAGGCCAAACACGCATCAATTATTAATCGCATAACACTTAAAAAGAAAGACTAGATAAGGTGATTACAATGACAAATGGAAACGAAAAAGGTGAAGTAATCTCATCAATCATTAATGTGATGAGAATATTGGTCCAATGCATGCTGTCGATTAACCTTACAAGTAGGTTAGATTTCAGGTCAGTCAAGTCAACTTACCGATTTGTCTAATTCACACATTAATATAGTTTTTGGAAATGTTTTGAGAGAGAAGTCTCTTGCTAATACGCGAAACAAACGAAAGATACAAACGCTAAAAAACATTTTCAAGAAATTATAAAAAAGCAACAGAGATTTTTTGCAGTAACATATAAAATACCTTTCTTGCCCATTCTTCACGTCCAGTTCTCTTCAAATAATTTTGCACCACAACCACCCCATTAAAGTCTGCCATAAACAAAATTCAGAGAAGAGCAAAATAAAATTGGTCAAGATTAGATAAAAGTTTTGTTTGGAATTGTAGAAATTTAGGAGGAATTTTCTTAGAGAAAAAACTCTCTAATTTTCCATTCATCTATATTAAGCAAATAACAAATATAATTTTCCATTCATCTATATTAAGCAAATAACAAATATATATACATATCAGACTACCCGTCATACTTTTGGAGGGAAATTCAAATCATCATGACAAGAAAGAAAGAAATAAAAATGCTATAATAAACAAATAAGGGAGAATAATTTCTCCCTCTTCTGACGCACAATTTACTAAACCATGGGAGGGTCCATGTGGTCCAAGGTTACATGCATATCAACAGCAAATTTATTTAAGTTATTGTAAGAGTAAAAATTCCAATAGACCAGAAAATCCTCGAAATGTTCTCTAGTTCAAGTAGATTTATTGAGCATGAGCTGGAAAAACCAGTTTAATCAACAAACATAGTAAGATAACAGTAACTGAACAAAAAAATTAAAAAAAATATATAAATCCCTCAATTCATATACACCCATTTCTTCATTTTATTTTCATAAATCATCAATGAAACCCGTCCCAACTATCTGAAGTCAGATTTTTCAGTTCCTCTTCATCATTATTCCAATTAAGAGCTAGCAATAGGTTGAATTCAAGTATAGCTGAATCATCTTAAACAACTGTTTAGTTATTCAAAATTTGAGTCTTCCCTTCTACACAATCTTTTCAGGTTAACGACTATATCCAAATAAAAGTTGCATCCGCTTTGCATTGAACAATAATAATTAGATATTTGGAAAATTCTTGAGATAATCACAATCAGAATTAGGTTAGCAATAATAACCTATTTCAGCTTTGAATCTAAAGAATCCAGGTCCAATAACTTCACTCTTGCAATCATATAAAGCATCTACCACCTGTTGTGTGGTCCATTAGTCAAATTAAAAAAATAATCTTAGGGTGCAAATAAAACAAAAGCGGCGTTCTCATCACCGGATCAGATCTTAAGAACTGAAGCACCCTTTGCATGTCATGATCATCAATTGCCCTGCCAATAAGAGCATGTCGGTTCCTTTGAATTAGAAATATTGCAACCTGCAACAATATTACCACGTGGATACACTACTTTAGCAATAAAGAAGAAAGTTGCAGATCATTAAATGTATTTAGTCTTACAACCTGCAGGAAACATGAAGCTAACTGGTAAACCATTCCCACACGAGGGGAATTCAGTCAACAAAGAAAATTCAGTAAAAATCCATACATAAGACAATTGCAGCTACCCAAATTGTTGTCCTTTCTTATTGCAAAATGAAAAGGTTAGCTATGCGTAGCAGATTGCTTCAATGACAATATAAAATAGCAGGCCAGATACTTAAAGTGATTTAAATTTGAATATTCACAATTCAAAATCAACCAATTCGAGGTACTATAACCCTTTCATCAACATCCATAAACGTAAAATTTGTAGGAATATTGGAGAGCTAAAATTGACTTGTAATTTACAATTTCCTACTTTAAGGAAATGAGTTTTGATTGCAGGAATTAAATTGTAATATTTCGAGCATATACCAATATCCCTATTGTAACTTAGACTCCATCTGGCATTACTTTTATGTGCTGTGTTGTATAGTGTTATGCCATGTTGTGCTGATTTGTAGAATAGATAACTATTTAGTAAACTCACGCCAAAGCTTTATAATTTAAAGTGCTATAAGAGTTGTGGATGCTCGTAAAAAACTATTGTCACTAGTGCGAGATATTAATATTACAATAACAAGTATGACTACAACAAGGATACATCGGAAAAGTGCTAAGGTCGCAACCACAAAAGCCACCAGCATGTCTAACATGTCCATGATTCCCTTGACCACCCAGAGAACTAGAGATCAAGCTTGATTGATCACAGAAGGGAGGGAAAGAGAGTTTTGTAACACCAAGAATCCAAGAGGGAGCAATTGCAATATTAGGAATAGTGGAATCAGTCATCAATTCTTATGGCACAATCTGTAAAGAATGATGGAGGCCATGGATATATAGCAAAAATAATTTATTTATTTGCTTTTACAAGAAAGAAGGGCCAACAATGATAAGATGATATTAAGTTAACTAGGCCCGCTTTCCACATAATGGCCCGAAGCTTTCAATTCAGTGAGAATATATGGAGAAACAAGTCCCTATTTTAGATGAATTCAAGAGATATTTTAAACCAGAAAAGTTGTGTCAATTTTTTAGATTAATAAGCCCCAGAAGTATGGCTTGTACTGTTAGGGTAATGGTCTGATTCATAGAAGCATTAAAATGAGGACATTTCTTGAAAGTTAGTGCAACAAACTTTGTAAGCCACATAAGCCACACTGTGATTTTGGAGTGGCGGGTAAGCTGAGCAACTCTGTCGTGTGATCGTGTATGATGTAGGAATGTACAACACAAGCAAAAATGGGGAAAACAGAAGTGACTCACGGGCACCATATGTGGGTGAGCAAGCTATGAGAGGGTGAGCATTGATGGGGCAAGTGGGCTTGTCTTGTGAGCAAACTATAAAAGCACATCAATAGAGTGAGCAACAAGAGGAGATAGTTGGGCAAGAAGAGGTGAATAGGATATAGAATGTGAATGGGATAGCATGTGAATTTGACTTTTACACCATGTTGGAAAAAAGGAATTCTTCTCTTATTAACAAAAATCAGGTGCTCTAAATAAGCATATCAGGTGAATACAAAAAGAAAAAAAAAAGTGAAGATCCTCATATAAAAGGATATAAAATGTATTAAAAGCATATCTTTCTAAATCAATGCTTTTCAGAAGTAATACTTTCGAACCCAGTCATTTCCTATAATAACAATTTCCCAAGCATTTGTTTCATAGAATATAAAATTAACCAAATCTGAAATAATCTGTTGATACTCAAAAGGTGCTAATACTTACTTTTCTGCTTCTTGCTTTCATTTTTATCATGCTTTTCTGACAAATTATTCATTCCTATTTTGTATCATGACATAGATAAGAACAAGACACTACACGTTAGTTCTCCTTTTTGGACCAATTTACCAGTTATACCTACACAAATTTGTTCTTCCTGTTCTGCTTTTATTTGTTTGATTGTAAATTTTTTTTTTGCTCTTATTTTATTGCTTAGACATTTACAAGAACAAGATACTTCACATGCATTCACCTAGGGCTATAATCAAGCTTAGTCGAGTGAAGTTTGTCATGGATTGGACTTGGCTTGGTCGAATCATGCACATAGAACCGACCAACGCCTTGACCGGTCCCACTTCTGACGCAGGAAGCACGCGAACAAAACCAACCAATGCAAGCAAGGGGAGAGTTTGAGTTCTCTTCTTAGGTATGGTGCCTCATTTCAACAGTGGGCCCGATCATAATCATCTAAGGAATATATACTAGCTTCCTGTGTTTTAGGTTTTTAGTTTCAACATCTCTTTTTCCCTTCGAGGGCAGTATCCAAGGGTTCAAATGGTGCTTCAGTTGTATCTCGCTCCCAATGTGGTGATTATCTTCTCAATTCCCCTTCTGTATCCTTCCCACATTGCTCTCGTCCCCATTTGCATGTTGCAGTTTCCATCTTCTCAATTCCCCTTCTGTATCCTTCCCACATTCCACATTGCTCTCGTCCCTATTTGCATGTTGCAGTTTCTCACTTTTTCCTCAGCAACACAATCCCGGAAAGCCATCCTTTCACTGTCCTGTAGTCCACCCCATCCCCCTTCATTGTCACCACCCTTCTCCTTTGCTGTCACAGTCCATAATAGCACTTCCTACTGTTTAGTAGCCCAACCCCTCGTCTTTGCTGCCACCACCTACGACATCCTGCCTTCTCGGTATTTTGGAAGTTTACCACCTTCCCTTTGTCGCCATCATCAAGCCCTATCTGCAGCACCACCATCCGACCTTCCAACCGCCCTTTACTACCTCTCTAGAGGTCCAAACCATCGCCAATCACCACCACACCCCAAGATCTACCTTAATTGAGTTAATGTTGCCATTTATCTCACTTTCTGGTTTTTTGTGTCTCATGCTATTATTTTCCCTTTCAATGTATTAGTTGTACTGCATAGTAGCATTTCCAGTAAAAATATTTGTTTGTTTATTGTCGTTTGAGTTAACTCCGGTATCATTTGGTATCAGAGCCAACGTAACCCTAATCATATCCTAGGGTTTCTAGCATTCACCAATACCCAACACTATTTTCACTCAAAACTCTTTTATTTGCTGATTTTCCAAACTAGCCACTCAAAGCTTTTCTTTCCCACCCTACAACACCCATACAGATCTTTTTCCACTCACCCAAACTCTAGATACGCCACTGACGAGACAATTGTCAGAGTCCTAATCAAGAAGAAATGTCATACTATCATTTATGAAAAATCAGCAAAGTGATGTCCAAAATCTTTTCATGGAAATCCTCCATATGTAATAAAGGCTTGCAGCCTTTGAGAAGAGACAATGCGAAAGGGTCACCCATAGCCATAATGGTGACTTACTAGATCAAAAGAATGGAGTTAATCTCTTATATAATGCAGATTCCAGGACGAAAAAACACTACTTTGGAGAATTGGCCTTAAATATCATAGGAGCCTAAATCTTAAAGTAAATGTGGATTTGTCATATTTTGATGACCACTTGAAACCGAACAAAGTCATCGAGTGGCTCCAAACCGCGGAGTGTCTTTGAGTATGAAGAATTCCCATTGGAACAGAATGGTGAAACTAGCCACCTTCAAGTAAGGAAGAGTGCATTATTTTTGGTAAAAAAATTGACGCAATTAAGTTAGTGTTAGGGCAAAGACAAAACTACTACCTAGTCCAAAATAAAAAGGGAGATGCAGCACCATTATTTATCAATTTATTATTAACCAAATGTTCAGACCCTAGCTTCAGAAGTGGAGAGACGACATCACCGGATGACCATCACCTTACAAGCAATGTTCAACCACAGGATCGAGTAGCAAGAGCAAGCCTAATAGAGCTTTCAAGCTAACCCTGCCTGAGAAGAGACTAGTTCAAAGTTGAAAACATGTGGAGCCAACCAATATTCCCAAAATTGTCTCGGCCATGATGTATTTCAAACTTCATGAATCTGGAAATATTGAATCAGATTACCCAACAAAAAAAATGATCTATTGAACTAAGCAGAAAGCAGTAAAAAAATAGTTCATGACATAGTAAACAATAAAGAAGCTGATGACACACAAAGGAAGAGAACCAGATTTCAAATGATGAAAGAGAGATCATGTAATTCAAGCTAAGCCCATGAGAGGTACTCCAACGAGATTTTGGACGTTCATGAAGAGTATGAAGTTATGGTGCCACAAGAGGAAGAGAACCAGATTTCAAATGATGAAAGAGAGAACATGTAATTCAAGCTAAGCCCATAAGAGGTACTCCAACGAGATTTTGGACGTTCATGCAGAGTATGAAGTTATGGTGCCACAACCTATCTTTTTGCAGGCATTGCGAGGAGCATCAACGGGATTAATATTGGATGTCCGAAAGAGCCATTAGTTTGAAAGGTCGATATTAGACACAGGGCAACCAAATATAAAAGAATTTCATAATTTTCAGATATATAACCTACCTCAGGAATTACCACTATTCAAAGAGGTCCAACATGTCAAACAAGATAAGCTTTTGGGATGTTTCTCGAAATTATATGGAGTAATTTGAGTACCAAATTCAATACATCCATGCGCCCACTAACAGATGGTCAGGACAGAGGGATGAATCACAGCGTTGGAAATCACCTTAGGAAATTTGTGAGAAAAAAACATTCTACTGTGGGATCCAAGTCCTTTCTGAGAAGAAGAAGAGACGTCTGCTGAGTTGTTAAACTTCCATGTGGCCCAACCCGCCATAAATAAATTCCAACATTGATTCCTCCTGACATGTTTATTTACCAGATACACTCAGCTGAGTAGGAGTGAGAGAAGTAGATTATAGATTTGATTGCTCGTGATTTTGCTCATGAGAGTTCACAATATATGCAACCAGAGCTCATGTTGTGTGAAAAAAGGATCGATACTTATTTTATCATTTTGTGTTTTGAAATGACAACACTTGCAAGATTGATTTACC